ATGAATTTGGGCACCTGGGAGGCATGACAAATGCATTCTGGCTTAATGACGCCCTCGACAGGAGTGAATATCTTCTTGTGGTTGTTCTTTGATCTCATCGGCTCACTTCAGAGGCGCCTTTCGCCACCTGCTGGCTAATAACATCAGAGCCAACTGTTGTGCAAGGATGTGGAGGTAGGTTATGGAAGCACGGCGGAAGAGAAGCTAAATTGATCGATTAACCGAGTGTCCCGGCTCTTTTCTCACAGCTCTAATTCCAAACTATTTTTTAGTATTTGAAACACACTGAGAAAAAATTGAATACCGTATAGCTTTACTTTATTCGCTTACTATGATCCATCTTCAAATGTGGAATCAACACTACTCACTACATTTAATGAAGAATGTTGACTTCTATGAAAAAGGAAATTTAATTATTTGGATGTTTAATTTACATGTACCACCAAATTTTGAAAAAAATATTTGAATTACAAATTGATTCTTTACTCAATGCATTACAATATTATATGTTTGGTTATCTTCCAATGCTTTTACTCAAAGATTGATCGCATGGATCCTCAAGTTAATTTCATGAAAATGAGAGAAAATCAAAGGTTACACCTAAACAGGGAGTTTGACAACAACACTGGAAAACTACAATGTAATCTCTGAAGAATTGTTGATTTAATGTGGTACAAAGGTAAAGTAGAAAATAAATTCGTAGGAAAATATTAGTTAATTTGCACTAAGTTTTCACTTAAGTTTCTAAAAGTTCTAAAAGTAGCAAAAGCCTATTTGGATTAGTTCGGATCAAACATTTCTTGGTTTGTTCAGTTGCGCTTAGTAATTTGGGTAACCGGTTTTCCAATTTTACCACAAGAAAAAGTTATTAATGGTTTGAACTTCGGTGGTCATGTTTCAGATTTTCTTTTGTCTTCCAAATGTTTAATAAAAAAATTATTGTGAAGTTCAAAATAACAGGGAAACCGAGCCAGATAGTAAAAGCCTTTTTAAAAAAATTATTTTTTTAAGCTCAAGAAAATTTGTCTGACTTTTGAAACATACAGTTGAAAAATGTAAATACTAACCTTTCAAAATGTATATCTTTTAATAATTTATAAATTAATTTATACGGTTTTCTCAGATAAGATTAAGGCAATATTCATGACCTTTCGAAATGTTAATCGTTACCCATTAACATGCCGCCCATGTGAGCAAACAGTTTTCTCTCTTCCATAATATATGGAAACTTTCCAATCTCAGAGACCACACGCGCACAAGCATAAATGGAGGCACACACACACACAGAGACCCGCTTACCTCGACGAAAACGAAAAAAGGATAAAAACGAAATGAAGAGGACTCTGCATCCTTTTCTGGCATGGCCATATCCGTATCTTTTTTCTCTGCTTTGTACACGAAATGGGAGAAACGGAATTTTCAAACATATCGTATATACAAAATGCAAACATGTCTGGCAAACACAAGTCCCATAAATGTTTTGTGCCCCTGTGATGGGTGGGGCGGAGGGGAGCGGGGTGGTGTACGTGGGGGAGGGGGTGGTGGAGCGGCTGAGGCTGGGGGTACGGTTAGTGATAAAAACTTGCAAAAAATATTTTCATATGTGAAAATGTGTAAAGTATAAAAGTTGTTTTCCACCGTTCGTGGCTCCTGGCTGCTGAGCTGATTCTTCTTCGTTGTTTTGCTCGTTTCTATTCCACTTTGTTTTTTTGTATGTTTTGTGTGTTTTGCCGTGCTGCCAGCCGCTTTTTGCGCTCCTCTGTTTGCACTATGTGAGCATCAGGTGATGTGGCAAAAGAAATTACAACAAATCCATTTGTAAAATTGCAAACCGAGACCGAGGCACCTCCTCCGCTTATCCCGTTGCCTTTGATGGCCTTTTCGGTAGCTCTTCCTTTTCGGCCAGTCAGCAGTCAGTAGTCAGTGGCAATGTGTGCAGCGCTGGAGGACGACAGCCAGCTGCGATGAATATCGTTCTGAGGAGGGGCACATCCGCAAAATGGTCGTTGACCTTATTATGGTCGTGTTGTATCAGGATTATTTTGTGGCAGTCATTAAACACTGTGCTTAATATGCTCAATTTTAATCTCAATGTATCTTTGTTATCGCAGTGCTACAAATATGTATACCTACAAACTAGACCAAGAAAAAACACATAATAACTTATAATAGTGACTCTTGGATTAAAATATTTTTGGCATTGATTTAACCCTGAGAGATGTTGTGTTTGAATCGGATTTAAATTGAATAAGTTCATATTTTAGCCTAAGCCTTAGCTTGCGACATTTGAGATGTTTTTACATTCCTTTTCGATTTCTTGAAAACTATTCATCATACTATTAATCAATATAGTATTATTTTCTGAAACGTTTTTTGATTAAGTTAATATTTTGGCATATGCAAAAAAAAAGAGTTTTTACCGGTATTGGTAAGATACAAAATTTCGAAAATATATAGATTACATTTTTAAACTATTTGCACGATTAGGTATTGCATTTTTTAGGGTGAGGCTATAGTCTATTCATAAATAAATTGTAAAAGGATTATTTTCGGTATTGAAAATAAAGGATTTCGTCTTTAATACAATCGAGCACTAGTTTCGAAAATATACATATTCGAATCATAATCTTTCGCTAAGAAATGAAATACTTTGGGGTTTGATTAAAAGGAAAAGAAAAATTATTTAATTATGTGTGTCCATGACCATGCAAATTTCCCGAAATCGGACCCTTCTTGCATTTGTAAATTATTTAAAGCTTTAATTAGTTTTTAAAATTGGTTTAGATTAACTCTCAAAAATTATATGATTTGTAAGAAACTAGAGGTTACGTTTCTCTGAGCCCCGAGCTCCCATTTCAGGTGTATTGCAGAGCACTTTGATTTCTCTAAAAATGATAAGCCTGTTTTCTGGGAAAGATTTTATTCATTTCTTTAAGCAAAATTTTTATTTTAAGCTCACTACAATCTTTATGTTCCCAAATGTTCTTTTCATTTTTTTCTATGGTAACCAATTAAAGGAGCAAATACAGCTCAAGCCCTTTTTCGTCAGCTTGCCCCTGTCATTATGAGCTCAACTAGCCAATCGCTGCCCTTCATTTACCTGGACTAACATTTCTCATACTAAAGTTTTCACAGGCTCCTCCAAATCGCACTGCACACAAAGTTCTTCTGCCAGGGAATTCTGCCTGCATTTCCCTCACTAAATTTCAGTGCCGAGACATTCATCAATTTGCCTGGAGAAGCAAAATCTTTAGTAGCAGCAATATCGCATCATCAGTCCAGTGTTTTGAATATAAGATACTCTGTATCTACGAATTTTTTTGTTAAAATTTTTTACAATTAATTGTATTATTATACAAATATAATTTGCCCACTATTTTGTTTTTATTATGGTCCTTTTGGTATTTGCCTTATTACAAGAAATATCCCCCAAAGACTTCAAATTTCATGGGGGCGAAGATTTATGCTAGGCTGCGATCGGATGTAGATAAAAATGTACTTCAGAGGGTCGAAACGCATTCTTCTACCTGTTACACAGATAGTAACGAATTTGGTCTACTACGAGTGCCTGGTACCAAAAGCAGAAAATAGCAACTACCATTTTTCGAGCAGCTCTGGATGCCACGGCAGCTTGACTATAAATTTTCCGTAGTAAGTGGGAGGCCCCCTGTCGGTCCTTCTCGGATTGCTGCACCCCGCCCCCTCCCTTCGCTTCTGGCCAGCAAGCCCCACACGTCAAATTTCAAACAAGTTCGCCTGCCGCAGGACATGCAACAAACGGCCAACTTCCAGACACAGGCAGCCGGAAAAAATTCGACCAGCAAAATCTAGGAGCCATGTTGCCAGACTCCGGCGGAATTCGAGACAGGTACAACAGCTGGCATCTTTTTCTATGCCTTTGCCGCCTTCCATCTTCTATCTTATTTCACGGCAACAGCCAGGGCAACAATGAAAAAGGCCACCTGAGGTGGCTGGGGCAAAGGCATTCCTGTGCTCAGGTTTATGCATAGCTCCGGCACACGCAACGGAAATGCTTGTGATTTAAATTTAAAGAGACGCAGGAATTCAAAGTTTGTGACTGCAGGGAGGATGGTGGCTTGAGCCAGATTTATAGAAATACATATCCGATTTTGAATCCCAGTTTGGCGTTCTAATTAATCGCAGAATTTATGATCATTAAATAATGTATTTTAAGTACTAACAATGGCTAATTACTTGTAGTTTGTTACACATTTAATCTTAGCGATCATATGATAGATAAGCCCTTTGCGTCGATTTATTTATCGAAATGCATATCCGACTTTGAATCCCAATTTGGGATTCTAATTAATCAAAGAATTTATGATCATTAAATAATGTATTTTAAGTACTAACAATGGCTAATTACTTGTAGTTTGTTGCACATTTAATCTTAGCGATCATATGATAGATGCGCCCTTTGCGTCGATTGACTGCCAAACTTTTCTATACTCCAACTGGGGGACTAAAATTCAACGCAAATTATTTCAAGTTGTCTAGCCCCGACTTTTCCCAATGAAAAAGTTTCTCGGCCGAACAATAACTGCAGCTGCTCATCACGCCCAACTTTTACTGTCTGCCGACCAAACCCAAACCCCCCCCCCTCACAGTCACTCCCCCACATCACCTGTGCCATCTGTCGTTAGAGACACTCTCCCCCTCCCCTCCATTTTTGCAGATCCAAGCTTACGTTAGGTTGGGGAATTGCAAATAAATATTTCAACTGCAGTTGCAGATTATTTTAGTGCTACGGCAAACTCGGAAAGTCGTAACAATGCGGAATGGTAGCAACTAAGGCAAACAGGTGGACGAAACTGAGGTGGCTGAGACGGGGGGGGGGGGAGAGGGGGGGAAGGTTCAGAGGAGCTTCTGGGGAATGGTAACTTAGCTTCGATTTCTCCTGGGACCTATGATAAAGTGCGCCCCGTAATGAAGACGAAATATGGCGCTGCAGAGATGTGCAAACTTTATGGGGTGTTTCGGGCAAGATTCCCGCTATTTATTTAGCCACACACAATTTCAATTTGTTTCTGCTCGTGTTCGTTTGATTACTTTCTGTTCAGGTTGTAGTTCCGCAAATAGATGCCAGCCAGAACCTCCTGGATGCGCCGACGCCGCTTGTCCTGCATGATGATCGAGACCAGGTGCTTGGGACTCAATCCCCGGTTGGTCTGCCGCTCGAGGGCTTCCACTGCGTCCTCGCTGATCACATCTTCGGCATCGCCATCGTCATCGGCTTGGGTGGTGGTTCCTTCGGAGATCGGGGCTTCCTCTGCAGTTCCGTTTTCCGCGGCGTTCACCACCTCGGAGTCATCCTCGAAGAGACTTCCATCGGCCAAGTCGTCCAGGTTAAGGCCCTGCAGCAAATCGGCGATCGAGGGCACGAAGGCACTGCGGCGGGAACTGGTGGAGTTGGTGCTGTTGGAACTGCCTGCCGTAGTGCTTGCTGGGAGGTAGATGCCCTGCATGTTGCTTGGGTTGATGACCAGGAAGGTGGGTCCACTGCCGGCGGTATTTGCGTACTCCATTCCATTGAACGGGTTGAAAGGACGGCTGGGCGGTGGGGGTGGTGGTGGTGGTGGAGGAGGACCATAGTACGAATAGTAGGGGTTCCGGTGGTGGCGGTAGTCGTGTCTATCGTAGTCGTCCTCGTAATATGGCCTCTGCACATAAATGACGGGACTTTTGTGGCTCTCCTGACTCTCGCCGCGTTTCCACAGCAGACGGGGAACAATTTTGGAGAAGGCTATGAGCAGAAAAATACCAGGCTAGAATCCTTTTGCTTTATAGATAGTTCACTTACCATTCTCCTTCACGCTTTTGCCTTTAGAGGTCTGCTGGGCAGAACACAAGGCAAAAAGAGCCGCAAGAAAGATCAAGACGCAAAGGGTTCTCATGGTATGTCAATTGAAAGCTTCTGTAGATTACTGTGTTCAAGCACTGCACCTCCACTGGCTTTTATACCTCAAACCCGCGAATTTCAACTTGTGAGGCTGACCATGGTTCATGTGCTATTTTCACAGTTGATCTAGGTAAGTGTGGATACTCGCAATTTATCCGTATCGGCTCGTAAATCAATTCTAGACCCAACGTTTATTACACTCGTAAAGTTGGCCGCCCTAGAAAGTATTTGACTAAGATCTTGTCTGTGGTCTCATTTGCCCTCGTCCGTTTTCACGATCAATTTAGCGCTAAGTAGTCTTATACAGATTACCCCCAGATATATGTTTCTCAACCGCTGATGTACTCAGTTTATGGTCGTATTTATGATCTGTGTACACAGGCCGGCAGTTGGCCAGATTGGAGGACATTAACCCCACCTTCGCATTCTCTGGTTCGTGTACATTGAACTTGAGGTGAGCAGCAAACTTTCTTTTCATTAAAGGAATGGATTTGAACTTAGAAATGCCTACACACGTAGGGAAAGAAAAAGTAATCCTAAGTAAAATACCGAGAGATAAGAATCGGAAGCTGAATAGAAATATATTTTTAAAAACACATCTTGTTTCTGTATTGACTTAAAAATTTGACACACTTGTAAAATGTCGGGGCTCTGCGAGACTGATTCCATTTGGTTCGCCATAATAAATCCATTTTCCGTCTTCGGGCAAGGTAAACACACAAGGAGCTTGTATAAAGAGCAAATACTATCTAAGCGAATATCCGTTATCACAGTCCTTTTGAGACCATTTCATCCTGTGCAATCAAATACCAAAGACAACAATACATCCTGGGGAGCACAAGAGGTAAATATTATTTAAAAAATCAAAACACGTAGGCTACACAAAGTACAAATCGCACTTAATCAAAATCACCTCAGAAAAGCTTTCCACATAAAATCCCACATTACTGCCGGGGCAGTTCGAGACGCAGCCGTAAGTAAAAATAAATAAGAGGCTAAGGAACTAAATTTGAGCAGGGGACCATGTGCAAACAGCAACAGGATCCAAAGCAGAAGACCAAAAACTCAACCTGGGAAACTGTCATGTACGAGAATTTCACTTTTTTAATTCTGTTAGGGGGTGGAAATAGAAAAGAGGGAATCAGGGAGCGAACTTTTTCCTCCAGCATCCATGTAAAACCGATAGAAAGCTTTCATTTAATATTGACCACAGTCAGTGATGAAATCTATTCGCTTGGTTTTGCCTACGGCTCTTTAGCTCGTAAATCTTTAGGGCCTATTTAAATAGACAACTTAGGCAATTTTAATAGCAGGCAAAGAACCAAGTAAACAAAGACAAGAAACCAGTTTTTTATAATATAGTTTATGCGGTCAATGGAGTTTAAATTAAAATAACGAAATTTCATTGCAATTTGAAATTGCTGATTAATTTTTTTAGTGCAGTAGTATTGAAAATACGACTTAGTTAAGAATATAAATTAATACTCAAATCAATATTAAAAAATAATACAAATTATAGATTTTTTCGTGCTTGATTTCACCAACATAATTGTGAATTTTTTTTCATCATCTGTTTGACTCTTTTAAAAACCTTTTTATAAAGGAGTGGGAAATATTTGCAATGCCCACCCTCTTATTTTTGTATTTTTAAACCATTTTTTTGGCACAAACATTATATTTTAGATTTGGACTGGGAGAAACTTAAATTTTATAGCTGAATTGAATATCAAACAAAAACACCAAAATTATTGCCGAAATTTTTTAATTCAACCTCTTCTCGTGACTTTAAATGTAACCCAAAAAAAATATGTGGATCGGAAGGTATTACTAGCATTTTGAAATCACATTTTGACTTTTCAGATTCTTTGGGTGTTCGCAAAATTAATTTTTTTATAAAATTTCTTTATGTATTCCTAAGCTTCATATCAATATTTTATTGACTGTCTGGGTATTTTTCTACTATAAATACAATAATATAATTTCCTGTGATCCAGATCGAATAATTCCTTCTTATATTTTATGCACGGGTTCGAAAAGGATGTGTAAGTACATGTGGTATTAAGAAGGTAATTTTCAATATTTTAGAACGAACTAATAGTCAACATTAAAGAATTTAATAATAAAAATCTAATATTTTAAAAAACAGCATGTTTATATTATGGATATAAGTCTTGATATTACCAGGGATGCGGACTATACAATCTCTGAATTCATGTATGTAACAGTTGTTCATCAAGCAAAATGTTGGAATAATACGCAGCAATATTATGAATTGATATATTTGGAATGTATATCAGTATAATATTTTACATATATTTGTTTAAATCAATGTAAAAAACAACACCTGGTGAAACACAAATAAAACTTTTACTAACATAGCAATTAGTAGAAGCAAAAGAAATAATTTTCTAGGTTCTGACTAAAAATCGGCTTTGCCGACTAAAAGCTAATTTTACTAGAAATATAACGCTTTTTAACTTAATAATAAAATAGTAATTGTTTCGTTAATATTAAAGATATAAAGTTCGATCATCTATAATAACAAACCAATCCTTATAGCGTTTACCCAGAACTCCCGATAAAAATAAAACGCTTTTAAAAAAAACAGCACTTTGAAAGAGAAATGGTAACATTCAAAAAATAGTAAGAGTAATAATCTAAATCAGGGTGTCCAAATGCACCGGTAAACCAAGCTTTCATCTCTTGAGTAAATTGTCGATTAAGTTTTGAAAGCCAGTGTAATCTGTGATCACCAGGATGTTCCCCAGGCCTCGCAGTTCCCGCAACTTGGCCTACATTAGGACGGCCTGACCAAGACCGCTCTGTGTGCAAATATCCAATTCGTTATGGTGAAATCTATGGGCTCCGTCAGGCTGTCCACCAGTTTACAAAGCTGGAAGGGAAACACTCCTTTTGCCAGATGTGAGTATAGACGAAAATCAGCAACACACGGCTTTGCACTTGCATCTGGCCTAAATTTGAATCTGCTCTAGCATTTTTACGAAAATTGACCGTTAGGACTGGACGACCCCCAGTTCAAAAGGTGGGCCAATGCCTTTTGCCACAAATACGAGTGTTTTTGCGGTGCTCCCAGGTGTGGGGCAAGAAGCACTCTCTGCTGCGTTTTGTGTTAATTAAAGTTGTTGTGGCTTAGACCAGCATCCAGTAGTGTTAATCTCCCATATGGTCCAATGGCCCCAGATTGGGATAAGTGGAGGATTCTCACAAATTGCCTGCACGTTAAGCCCTTTGCAAGGTGACAAGAGATTCAACCATTGGTTTCTAAAACTAGAAAAAAAGAAATTCGACTAAATGCCTCACAAACAATAATTTAATTTTTTGTACAACTGAAAATTGTGTATATAACTGCTGTAGCTTGAAAAAATTCAAAAATATGGTAATAGTCAAGAACCGCATCGTATATTGCACGTTGAAAAACACAAGCTAATAATCAATATGCTAGTAATCCACCATTAAATAGATTTTTGCTATGAATTTTTAAAGCTTGTATAAACAATGGTTTTTTGCTGTGCCATTTCACTGCTGTTGCAGATGTTAATGAAATCACCCGAAACATTTTCGAATGTGTTTATATATGTACATATATTTTTCGTTATCCCTTTTGTACTTAAACATTTTAGGTATAGATAAGGAAACTGATTTAAGCAGTTGTGTATTCTTTAAGGTATCTTATAGATTTAATGGAAATTCTTATCAACTATTTCAAAATTGCCTCAATCTGAAGGCCCAACTGTAATTTGAAAATTAATTTAATTGTTTGTGTCATTAATACCAGTGCTTACACCGCAAAAAAAGCTCCTTCAAACTTTTTAATTTTATTTTCTTTTACTATATATTAATAGTTGTTCTACCATAAAACATTAAATTAATGAAGCTTGTATGTATTTTGTTATTCATTTTGTTATTTTTAAGTTTGTACACTGAAAAGCTTATACATTTGTCAGGATTAAATCTATAGCCCTCTACATTAGCTGGAAGCAAGACGATCTACTTATTTAAAGGGTTTTTGATGGACTTACTTTTCTAGATGGTAATTTATAGATAGTTTATACTTTAATATAAATTAATATAATTAAATTAATCATTCTAGACGGTGGCTTGGGGAGTCAGCAGCTTGTATACCCTTGCAAGTATACAAATTTGTAGAACAAAAACTTTAAATTTACAAAATCACGTCGATGACTGTTGAGCAGCTGAAAAGCATAGGTTCGGTTCCGCGGGGAGTATGTAGACTTTTTTAATGATTAAAAATAAATTTAAAAATTATGTATGTTGCTTCAAACAGGGCTATAAAAATAAATGTCGGAAATATTTGTTAGCTCAAAGCAAATAAAAACGTGTTAAAGCCCCAGAACAGCGAATAATCACTGGTTTTGGACCATTGCAGAGAGTATTATATCTTTCAGTTAAAAGTTTGAAACGCAGTGAATAACACATTTCCGTTCTTTTTATTATTATTTTATTTTTATTTATTTTTTGAAAGTGTAGGTAAAAGCCCTTGGAAGAGAAGTCCGGGCTGAGAGTCAATCGTTAGAGATAATAGGAATATTTACATATATTATAGTCAGAACATAATACTCTCATGCCAGGCGAGTCGATGTCTGTTTCTAAGCAACCTAGTCCTTAGTTTTAAAGTTATTTGGATAAAAAAATGTATTTTCCTTTGCTGGTAGTATACAAGAACTAGACGTACCTGCGTTCTATATCATATAGCTCCCATAGGGACAATTAATAAAAAAGGGAAATAAAATTATAAATGATGACTGCCATCAAAAAGATATAAATGTATTGGGAAATCGACCCATTTTAATTGTTTTTAAGCATAGAAATATAAATACATTACATCAAATTTTTCTAACAGGTGCAAGGGGCTTATAAAATTCGGCTGGGCCAAGTTTGTTTCCTTTCTCGTTTATTTTAAAGATATAACAAAAAAAAAATTAGAAAATTGACAAAAATATTTAATAGTCGAACTACTTATATC